CTGAGGCTGCTCACCAGGGGACCGCAGGAGGCAGCTGGCTTTGGCTCCAGCCTGGGGGGCCTGCTGGAGCCTGTTGGGGGGCTCCTTGCAGGGCGTGGAGGCCATCAGGGCCTGGGCTCCCCAGCCTTCTGTGGTGTAGTAAGGATACGGTGGCGGCAGGTTGGGGCTGGGTGCTGGGTGCAGGACCCTCCTGGGTTCCTCGCAGGGAGGCAAGCAGACGGCGTGGCCTCCTGCCAGCAGGGGACTGGGCATCACCTGCGACATGGCGGGGGCAGCGACCCGGCGGTGCAGCTCTGGCTTCTCACCAGCCTCACTTAGGTCCCAGAGGTGTCACTTGCCAACCAGGAGCTTTGCAGGACCTGAAAGAGGCCAAGGTGGCAGCTGAGTGTCTTTTGTAGATGAAGCCCCTGCCTTCCCCCTCCAAAAGGAAGGCATATCCACTCATTCATTTCATGGATGTTGGAGCCAGACTGCCTGGGTTTGCATCCTGGCTCCACCCCTTACTAGCCGTACACCACCGGGCAGGTTAATTCACTTCTCTGTGCCTCAGTTTCCTTCTCTGTAAAGTGAGTTAATATTTGTAACATGCGTAGAATAGTGCCTGGCACATAGTAAGCATTACGCAAGTTATTGTTAAATATAATAACGTCAGTAACAGTTTATTAAATATTCTCTATGTCCCAGCCTTATTCGTTAAATAAATACTAGCTAATGTTTACTGAGCAATTTCTGTGTGCATAGGCACTGGTATTTACACACAAAGTCTTTTAAAACCCTCATAACAACCCTCTGAGGTCACAGTATAATTACACCATATTACAATGTGAGAATGGAACACAGAGAGGGGAGGAACTTGCCCAGGGGTGCGTGGCCGACCAGTGTCAGAGCAGGGCCGGACCCCAGGCTGCCTGATGTCTGAGCCCCTGCCTTTAGCGGCTACTTCCCAGGGGCCAGTGTGTGAAACCAAGTGAGCAGGTGAGCAGTCATAAGCAGTGTCACCAGGGAGGAGGGGAAGCAGAGGGGACTCGGTAGGCACTGGTGGGGAGGTCAGGGAGGGCTTCCTGGAGGAAGAGACATGTAAAGGGAGGCAAGAAGAAAAAGCAGGAGCTAGCTGGCCAGGTAGGTGGGGATGAGGCAGGTGTTTTCAGAAGCCTGACAGACAGGGGGGATCAGGAGGCATTATTGAGCGCCCGGGAAACAGGGAACTCCTAGGGTAGATGGAGGAAAGATGGGGTGGGGGTGAGAGGGGGCTGGCTGGCCAGACCCTGCAGAGCCTTGCAGGCTGGGCTCAGTAGTGCTGTCTCAACCCTGAGAGCAAGGGCGAGCTACAGAACCGTTTTGAACTGGGGAGTGACATCATCAGATGATATTCACTCCCTGGGGGCCCATCCAGGAAAGAGTTGTCTCAACTTCCTCAGTTCCCTTACTGTGGAAAGTTCTTCCTGTTGTCTCACCTTAATACCACATGTTAGTACTTTCCTGCAGGTGGGGCTGGGTAGGAGGCAAGAGGTTCTAGGACTGAGGCTGCCAAGAAAACTGTAAGCCGCGGGGACACGCTGGTCACACTACCACTGCACGCCCTGAGCCTCACCACTTGCCCCCCAATACTCCTCAACTCTGCTCCTCCCTTTTTCCAAGACGCTGTCATCACATCCTGCTTTAGAGTCGGACCCCGAGTGCTGGAAAAGGTATTGAGACCAGCCTGGGCCAAATGAAATGAGAACCTGAAGATTCAGATATCGATTCCCAGCTCATACAGTTCCTTAAGGTGTAATCTGGCCTTAGTTTCTTCACCTGTGAGATGGGCAGAAGAATTCCTGCCTGCACCGCCCCCCCCCCCCCGGCCCCCACCAGAGAGCGACACGGAACCAATGAGGTGCTGCTTGAAAAAGCAGTTGGGTAACTCGAAATACTACTTAGAAATAAGGGCTTGTCTAGAGTATAACAACTTCATAAGAAAAAAATAATAACGGCTGCCATTTATCGAGCATTCACCACGTGCCAGGAGCTCATCTATGTGTGTTACATCTGCTAACTCTCCTCTCACACTCCGAGGAAGTTCTGGACCCCTAGTGCCAGCCCATTTTACAGATGAAGACACCGAGGCTCAGAGAGGTTAAGAACAGCGATAGAGCTGGGATTCAAACCCAGGCCTCGGGACTTTGGACTCTTAACTCCTTGTACCACATTGAGTTCAAGTGCAGAGGGACCCCTGAGGTCCAGAGAGGGGATGCGATTTGCCCAAGTCACACAGTAAGTGAATGAGAAAAGCCAGGCCCCCGCCAGACCTCTCCTTGGCCGGGTCCTGGAGCGGGTGGCACAGCCCAGGCTCCTGCAGCGTGTCTATAAATGGCAGTGGACGGGAACCGGCCTCTGAGCTCCTTCCTGGGGGCAGCCGAGGACACGGAGCTGTGGCTTTTCCCTCACGTGCTCCCAGAGGCCTGGCTTTGCTGGGGCAGGATCTTGGCATACCCTGCAGGGTTTTGTCTGGGCCCCGCAGAGGAGGCTGGGTGTTGATTTTATGGAGGACATTGGGGGCCTGGGTCTCCCCCCAGGGTGAGAACCCAGGATGCCTGCCTACTGATTTGGAAACTGCTTTTGTGCCGCCCTGGACTTCACTTGTCCCATCTATATAATGGGGACAATAGAATGACAGATACGTACTTAACACGTACTCATTTCATTTTCTCAATGGTCTGTGAGGCGGGTACTCTTCCTGTGGGGCTGGAGAGGCTCGGGGATTTGCCCGAGGTTACACAGCCCACAGGACCCGGTGGTGGGTTTGGGACCGGAACCTTCGTGGTTGAAGCTCCCACACCTGATGCCTCTGCTTCGTAGATTTAGGGCCCCTTTCACCTCTTTCCATCCTGGGATTCTGGAACCTGAGGAATAAGCCTGGGAGGCTCTTTTTCACACTCTTCTCACTTTGAACAGTCCCCGAATCACCCTGGACCTCCCCAGGCAGGGTCTGGGCTCCGTGCTTTATTCCTGGACATCCTGCCCACCACTAGCTTTCTTTCCTGCTCTGAGGGGCAGGGGAGGGTGCCTGGGGCTCAGGGCTGTGTGTGTGTGTGTGTGTGTGTGTGTGTGTGTGTGTGTGTGTGTGTAGGGGTGGGTGGGGGTATATGGTGGGCACGGAGGGCTCCAGCCAGCTCAGTCCTATTTATGGGTCCCTCCCACCCACTCCCCCTTCAGATTTTGACTCAGATCTTTCTTTGTTCCCAAGGGCTCGGGAGGTGGGGGATCCTGCTACCTTGGCACATCTCCTCTGCTTCATAGCCAACCTCCCACAAGCCCAGGTCAGCGAAGGGAGCGGGTAGAAGAGAGGGACGCCCAAGGCCCCCCAAAAGCCCCTTGCCTCAATAGTCCAACCCCTACTTAACCCCATCCTGGTAGAATGGCTTCCGGTTGTCCCATCCCCTCCACTCAGACCCAGGGGCCGCAGGACCAGCGAAGGCCATGGTCCCCCACCTCTGGGTGCCCAGCAGCCTGAGGGGCCCAGCACCGGGGCTCAGGACCAGGCTGGGAGGCAGGAGGCCTGGTTCTGTGCCTGTCCCTTCCCGAGTCTCCGTGACCTTGGGCAAACCTCTTCCCTTCCCTGCACCTTGGTTCTCTCATCTGCACTCAGAGGGGTACAGATTTTCTCTCTCAAAGAATTAAACGCCGGGGTCTGTGGTCCTGAGACCATGTCTCTCAGCCACAGCCTCTTCCCCAGTTCTCCCCACCTGCGCTCTGAGCCCGGGCCCCAGAAGTGGAGAAGCAGAGGACACAGGGTTAAACGAGTCCGCTGGGAAGGTGCTTGCATAAAGCTCCTTGCAGAATAAAGGCACCTACCTGGGGTCCAGGGCAGGCAGCGGCTGCGTTCACTTCCGTCTCCTGGGATCAAGACAGCTCCGAGGCCAGGTGAGGAGTGAGGGAGGCGCAGTTCACCTCAGACTTAAGAGCACCCACTATCCTGCCCTCCCTCCTCCCCTCAGGGCCCTACTCGTGGCTGACAGCCGCCAGGCCCCACCCCTCCCTTGTCTGTGGGCTCAGGACACAGGTAGGGTTGGCTCCAGCACAAGGAAGGGAGGCCTCGGGTGGGGGCCTGGCCTGGCCTGGCCTGAGGGGGGCTGGGGCTGGGCTTGTGTGAGGGGCTCCCAAACTCCCTGCTTCCCCGGCCCTCGGCCCCCGCCTTGGCCCCACAGGCATCACCTGATCAGGGGAGACCTGCTTGGCTGGGCAGGGACTTGTTAAGACCAAGGTGCGCTGGATCTGGGCATTCCTCTGACCATGTGCCAACCAGGGGCGGGGCCGTGGGTTGGCAGAGCTTGCAGGGAGTGAAGTCCTTGACCTTGGGAAGGCGGGATGGCCGTGGGCAGGCGACCCTTCCCACAGCCGCCTCCCGGGCCCGTCTGGCCTGGGCCAACCCGGGCAGCACAGGGGCTCCTTGGAATGGAGGCCGAGCACAGGTTTTGTCTTTCCTTCTTTTTCTTTTTAATCTGGGAACGGAGCTTTGAACTCAGGCTGGCGCTAGGCTGGAGGACCTTCTCCAGGGGACTCACTACCCAATCACCGCTGCTTCTGTCAATCACAGAGCATATAGCCTTTGCTTTCACACCATTTCCTAATGTGCTTCCATCATGAACTCTGTAATTTTCACGTCAACGTATGGCCTTAAAAAATCTGTTGAAACGGTGCCATCCCATAGGGCCCATGCGGCTCGTCTGAAGTGAGATGCTGTTATAGGTGTAAGATGCACATCAGATTTCAAAAACTTAGTATGAAAAAAGAGAACGTAAGTGAGCTCATTCATCATTTTTATATTAATTACACGTTGAAATGATAATATTATGTTGATATTGGGTTCGATAAAAAATAACCAGGGTAGAATGTGGTCCTTGCCTCTCCCACCTCCTGTGGCTGCCCCAGAATCCCTGGGCTGTGGCCCCATCGCTCTAGTCTCTGCCTCCTCTTTGCTTGGCCTTCTCCTCTCTTACCTCTTCTTGCTTCTCCCTTGTCAGGGCACTTGTGATGGCATCCAGGACCCACCTGGGTAATCCAGGGTAATCTCATCTTGAAATCCTTAACTACAGCTGCAAATCAGGTAAGCGTGATAGGGGCTAGGATTTGATATTTTGGGGCAGCCATTATTCAACCTACCACATGTAGTTACTAGAAAATGTAGAATTACGTATGTGGTTTGCATTATGTTTGTTTGGACAACTTTGGGCTGCAGTAACCCCTGCCTGAGGGAGTCAGAGAAAGTTTCTCAGGTTCTTGAAGGAAGTTTGAAGTGGAGGGGGCTGGTGACCAGCCTGGGGGAGATCAGAGAGGCGAGAAAGAGCCTGGAGTATTCTGGGGACCCTGGGAGAGGTCTCTGTGGTTGGAATTCAGGGTGAATGAGGGAAGAGTGTTGGATGAAGAATTTGGAAAGACAATGTGTGTATAGCTTTGCCTCTATCCTGTCTTCCTCTAGTGAGCCTTCCTGGCCGCTGCATTTCTCACCTCCCTTGCCACTGAAATTCTGGCTGGGCAGCCGGCTCTGTCAACCGACCCCATGGCCTGGGGAGGTGCGCGGTTATGGAGACACTGGGTTTTTGGGGCAGCTGCCTCCCAGCACCCAGCACACAGGTGTGGGTTGTCGCTGAAACGACTTCCTGACCCTTCTATTAGTTAAGTGATGGTTCTTGAAGGCAACAGAGTCTGGGTGGCTCCTGATTCCTTATCTTCTTGATGATGCCAGAGGGGGCAGTTCCAAGGTGGGTCCTGTGTGTCTCTGGGAGACATTCCTGCAGGTGCAGCCAGCTGGTCTAACCCTCCCAGTGATTTAGTAAGCACCGAATTACCTGCATGAAATTCCTTTCCGCTGAAATTAGCTCCTGTGGTTTCTGCTTCCTGCCGGTGACTGATGCAGGTGGGCTGAAGGGGGGAGAAGGACCTGTGGGTTGCCCTAGGCAACCTGGCTTTTCTGTTGTGAGCAATGGAGATACATAGGAAGCATAAGCATTTTTTAAAAAAATTATTTTCATTCATTTATTTAAAAATTGTTTTAAACTTTCCATTACAGTTGACATGCAATAAATATTAGTTTCAGCTGTACAACATAGTGATTAGACATGTAAATAACTTACGGAGTGACCACCCCGATAAGTCTAGCACCCATCTGACACCATCCATACACAGTTATTACACTATTATTATTATTTTTTAAATATATTTTATTGATTTTTTACAGAGAGGAAGGGAGAGGGATAGAGAGTTAGAAACATCGATGAAAGAGAAACATCGATCAGCTGTCTCCTACACACCTCCTACTGGGGATGTGCCTGCAACCAAGGTACCGGAATCGAACCCGGGACCTTTCAGTCCGCAGGCTGACGCTCTATCCACTGAGCCAAACCAATTAGGGCTATTACACTATTATTGACTATATTCCCTATGCGGTACTTTACATCCCCATGACTATTTTATAACTGGCAATTTGCACATCTTAATCCTCCCCTCTTTTTCACCCATCCCCCCCAAGCCCCTCCCACCTGGCAACCATCAAAATGTTCTCTGTATCTATGAGTTTGTTTCTGTTTCATTTGTTTTTTTTAGATTCTGCATATAAGTGAAATCATGTTATTTGCCTTCTCTATCTGGCTTATTTCACTTAGCATATACCCTCCAGAGGAAGTTTTCAAGCAGAGAGAGCAGGGAGGGAAGGGCATGAATGTATTTGTGCCATAGAACAATTCTTTTGCTCCAGGCAGGTGATGAGCCCCCTATGAGGGTAGCAGAGGTGCAGGCCTGCTTTTTTCTGCGACTCTCTCTTCTTTGGGGTAGGGACAGATGCAAAGATTGGGGAAGGGATGTTCTTTGCTATGATGGGGCAGAGAGCTGACATGGGTGGGTAGGCTCCTGAACATCTTGGCTCTCTCTGTAGCACGTGAGGCAGCGATTCCCAACAGAGAGGATAGTGAGAATGTTGGTGGCCAAAAACCAGGCTCTGCATCAAGGTGCAGAGAGAGCAGGGCCGGTAAAGGCCAGGCTGCACTCTGGATGCCTGCATTTACACTTACTCTCCACGGCCGGTTTGCTGGGCCCACCAGGAAAGACCCTCTCAGGGCCACCGATTCCCTCTGAGCAGGAGGGAAGTCTCATTTTCCCTCTCCTGTGGCAGTGGGAGGGGTGAGGAGGAGAGTGAGGGGATTATCCGAGGGGAGGGGATTCTGGTCTTTATGGTGGGGATGCCGACGGGAGGTGGAACACGTCTCAGATTTTACTCTTCTGCACCTCTGACGTCTTAGCTGCAAAATGTGCATGCCTGGCCCTGGCCGGCGGGTTGGGTGTAGTGGGCGTCCTGTGCACCAAAAGGTTGCGGGTCCGATTCCCTGTCAGGGCACATGCCCAGGCTGCAGGTTCATTCCCTGCATGCAAGAGGCAGCCAGTTGTTTCTCACATGGATGTTTCTCTCTCTCTCCCTCTCTCTCTAAAAAATCGACTAAAAAAAACTTTAGAAAAGTGTGCATGCCTGAAACTCTACCTGTGTGATAGGTGAGGCCCAATCCGGGAATATCTTTCTTATGAATGCCCTACCTATGCAGGGTGGGTCCCCTGCAGTCTCTAATACCAGAGCTGGAGGGGCCCAGAGGTGCTCAGTCATCCTTGAACTCAAACTTGATTGTTCATACATCATCGGTAAAAAATGTTAAGCAGGCACCCCTGGTGTCTATTTATTTATAAATTACATACATAGAGCTTTATAAATGATGTACACGAACTAGATACATGAACATACATTAGTATGCACATTTAAAAATACATGTACATGATCAGATACATTATGCTTATATAAATAAATTATATATGTATATTATATTATGTACATTATAAAGTGATATAAACAAAAATGACAAATGTAATAAATACAGTTTTAAAGTAATTTTTATGGCATTTCACTGAATAATGGCACAAAATCCCTTTTTGTTCTGACAATGAGAGCCATGCCATTAAATGTGCTTCTTTATTTTTGAAAATCCTGGTTGAACACTTTGTGGAAGAGCGACGTGAAGGCCTGGGACTAAATTTGGTTTATTGCAATATTCAGTGCTAAAGGCTGTCACAGCTGAAGAGGGGGCCTCATGAAGACACCCCGCCCCAGACGGGTGCCACGCATTGTGGGCCTGGCTCATTAAATCATGACATTCAGTCTTCAATTTTCAATGCCATCACCCATTCTGCAAAAGTTTTGTTCAAAATTGACTTTCAAATTTCCATCTTCCCTCATGTCAATCAGTTGTCCTCACAACGAAATTAGAATATGTTGCATTTTAATGCTTTTAGCAAATGGGTTTAAAACCCACTCAAACACTTCATTTGGAAGAGTTTTATAAGCAAGTTAAAAAATTCCTTTTTGTTCTCTCTCTCTCTCTCTCTCTCTCTCTCTCTGTGTGTGTGTGTGTGTGTTTAAGGGTAGCTATAAAAGATCTTGGGAACACACAAGGTTTTTAACGACAAAAATCATATAACGATGAGAACATTTTGAAACGTTACTTCCAAATCATACTATGTTCCTTCCAAAAAAGGTCCTCCACCAACAGCTGTTTAAACGTCACCTTGACCCTGATGAAAAGAGATGTCATTTCTGGAATGACATCTGCTGTAACTCTCAACAGACAACCCTGTCTCCCCTCCCTGGAGCATCAGGTGAAATCACATCCTAGGATTAAGGTGAAGTGCTGCTATTTTCTTTGCAGAGATCATTTTAGGCCACTTGTCTTGTTGAAAGGCGGATTAATTTAGTGCGAATCACACTACAATCTGCAGATTCCACTGAACTGGGCCTATGTAAATGGCAGTATGTCGCCATGTGTTGAAAATTGAGCAAGAGAGTGAGGAGGCTGCCCCCAAGTCCTCTGCTCCTCCCCCTAGACGTTGACTAATGTGGGGGACACAATTGGCCAAAAACACACCCAGCACCCAGGTCAGTCTGGATGTTAAATATCGGTAGAGCTGAACTTCCCTACTTTAGACAGAAATGCATGTAAATGTGTACATTGAACTTGAACATTTTCTTCCCACGTGCCAGCAGGTCCTTCTGCTGCCTGAGGGCATGTGCACTTCACTCTGGAGGCCAGTTCTCATGGACCATGGGTCAGCTGAGGCCCAGAGAGGGAGGGGGCTTAGGGCCCATTGCAAGTAGTGACAGAGCCAGACTGAAACTCAGGTCCTTGCCTTCAGGGCCTCCCCTGACCCCCACAGAGGCGTGTGGAGGCAGTGCAGGCTGGTCAGTGCGGCCCCCAGAGGGACAGGTGTTCTGCTCTCTAGGGGAAGCAGGTCCCTGCCTAGGACAGGTGTGAACATGCTTCTTTCTGTTAATTTTTGTTAATCCTCACCCGCATTGATTTTTAGAGAGAGTGGGAGGGAGGAGGAGAGAGGAACATCAATGTGAGAGAGACACAGAGATTGGTTGCCTCCCACCGGCACCCTGACCAGGACTGGGGATCGAGCCTACAATCGAGGTAGGTGCCCTTGACCAGAATCGAACCTTCAGTCCGAGGGCTGAAGCTCCAACCACTGAACCAAACCGGCTAGGGCAAATATGCTTCTTACTAGTGTCCTGTTCCTTCCTGGCCCCTTCCTGCCTTATGACAGGCCGTCTGGATCACTCTGCTCAGGGGTATGTCATGTGTCCTCTCTGGACAAATTAATTTGTCTTTGGCTTGGGGCATAGTTCGCTGTTTTGTACACCTCAGAGTTAAATCTGAAAAGAAAACCAGCCACCTGTGTCCCAAACCAGACAGGCTGGGGCTCAGCACTGTCACCCTCAGATGGCCCTGCTTGGGCCCTCACTGTCCCTGAGAGAGGGAAGGTATAGGGACACACCTAGGGACATCAGCGCCTGTGCCCTGCTCCTAACCAGGAGCAGCCGTAGCCCAAGCTGCTGGGCCATCTGCCCAGGGCCTGGCCCGGAGAAGGGGGTCCCTGGCCAGCTTGGGAGAGGGGGTGAGTACTGTGTGTGATCCCAAGTACCCCTAAGCTCGAGTTGAACTCGTTGGATACTCAAGGCCTCCTGCTGAGCCTAGCAGGTGAGTAAGAGCACACTCACTGCTCTCACACCTTTCTGGCCCCGCCTGCGTGCACACCCTTGTTTTCATGTCTTGAGCTTAGTTCTGATGACATTGGCTGCACCTGCAGCTCTTCACACACAGCCGGCCTGGAGCCATGTGGTCAAAGGGCGTGGCATCCATGGCCGTGCCTAAGCTGTCTTTCCCCCAGATTCAAATCTCCTTTCCTTCTGGGCACAGAGTGAGACTGTATTTCCCAGCTTCCCCTGTAGTTAGATGGGGCCGCGGACTGAGTTCTGGACAGTGCAACGCGGCCAAAGAGATGTGAACCATGCCACGGCCTAGTCTGACCCTTAAAACACCCACGTTGGCTCACTCTCTTCTCTGTCCGACGGCCTGAGGTGAAGGGCTCAGGGGAGATGTCAAGGCCCTCTCTGCAGTCAGTGGAAGGGGCCTGGCCTGGCCCATGGCCATTGCACCTGTGGAAGAAAGAAGTCTTTATATGGGAAGTCACCAAAATGTTCGAGAGGGCACAGCAGTGGCAGCCTGATTAACATAGTGTCTGACCCCAGATGGAGAGTCAGGGGACTTGAAATCTTTAAGATTTTGTGAGGCAACAGAGTGTAGGAGTTAAAAGTTTAGACCTAACCGGTGTGGCTCAGTTGGTTGGAGCATCGTCTCATGCACCAAAGTGTCCCAGGTTCGATTCCCGGTCAGGGTACATACCCAGGTTGTGGGGTTGATCCCCGGTTGGAGCGTGTATGGGAGGCAATCAATTGATGTTTCTCTCTCACATGGATGTTTCTCTCTCTCTCTCTCTCTCCCTCTACTTTCCTCTCTCTCTAGAATCAATGAAAAACATATCTTCGGGTGAGGATAAAAAAAAAAGTATAGACTCTGGAGTTGGACTCCCAAGAAATTGGCTAATGGATTTGCCTATTCTGGATATTTGATACAAATAGAATCATACAATATGTGATTTTTTTGTGATTGGCTTCTTCCACTCAGCTTCGTGATTTCAAAGTTCACCTGTGTTCGGCATGTATCAGTACTTCATGCTTTTTCATGGCTGAATAATATTCCATCATGTGGAGACTACATGTGCAGGACCCTTTCTTAACTGGCTCTACGATGGTGTTGGGCTGGGAACTGGGGAAGTCAGCAGGTGGCTTTCTCTGTGCCTCTTGGGGTCTGTCACTCTAGAATATGCTGCTGGGGCCTGGGGACCCAGGGAGACCGCCAGTCTCACCACATCCCCTAGTCTTTGCCACCCGATCCTGAAATCCCCCCCGCCCCCCCAGCGGCGGTGGCAGCACCACCTACAACTGGTGCGGACCGGTCCCAGGGGGACGCTTCTGTTTTGGGGCTCCCAGCTGTCTCTGGTCAGGGTCTGGAAAAACTTGGAGCCCTTCTCTGGTGACAGTTCGGAGGTCACACAGGGTGGGGAGGTCGGGGGAAGGGGTGCATGGCCTCAGGACCTGGGATTGCTCAACCACGGAGCCTGGACGGCAGTGGGAGTCCAGCCTGGCACCAGTGACGTGGGCCCTACGCCCAGAGAGATGCTTAGGTCTTCACTTGCGGAGCCTTTTTTTCCAAAAAATTTAATTCCACATTGTTTTTCCAGAGAAATTTAATTCCACATTGTTTGTTCTCTGCCCCACAGACGCCTCGGCCGAGGAAACCACGGGAATCTCATTTGAAGAAGAATCTGGCCCCTTGGAGCCCCCTCCCCATTAGCTGGTGGGAGGGTGCCCAGATTTCAGTCGCAGCCACCGCACCAGCAAACCCCAAACCACAGGAATGCGCGGGGTCACCTGGGGACAGAGGGAGGGTGGCTGGACAGTGAGTGAGCCCATGGGCCTGCACCACATGGGGGTCTGCTGTTCGGCCACACGAGCACTGGACTCGGAGCCCCCAGACCTCAGTGTGACTCTGGACTCTGCCACTCTGGCCTGGGATCTTGGTGGTCACATGTGTGGCTAACCACGCTCACCTGGCCACTCCGGCCCTCAGCCAGACTCAGGCCGGGAGCCGAGCTTGGCAGTTGAGGGAAGCCACATAGGGGGATGGGGAGCGAGGAGGCCAGGTGAGTGAGGGTAGAATTTTCTAGTCTCCGGGTCCTGCAGGCTGAGCTGGAGAGGCACCCAGCACTCCCAGGTGCCCTCCAGCACCCGGGAAGGGAACCACAGACTGATGGCATCGGTTACGGTAAGCACTGCGCCAGGCATGTCACATAAGCCATCGCTTTTCTTCTTACAGCTGCTTTATGGTGTGGCTGCCACTCCGTATTCCCTTTTACAGATGAGGAAACCGAGGAAGGTCAAGGGACTCAGCTAGCGTAACAAGGTACCAAGGGCAGAGGCTGGGCAGAGGGCAGCCGTCCCCAAACACTGTGTTCTTTCCACACCGCGTCCCTGGTCCCTGGCCTGGCCCTCAGACTTGTTTCTTGGTGGGATCAAAGTTGAAATCACACATGTAAGTGTTTTTGAGCTGGAATGGACCTGGTGCAAGTTGCCATTTCGCAGGTGGGGAAACTGAAGCCCAGAGAAGGAAGGCGTTGTGTCCCGAGTCACCCAGCCCTGTCCCCTGATGCTCACTGGCCACTTGGTTCACGTGGGTAGAGCCAAGTGTCCCCGAAGCCAAGGCTGTCTGCAGTGGCCAGTGGGACAGAGATTCCCAGCTCTGCAGGTTCAAAGCCTGGCTGTGGATCTGATCCCGCCTCTGGTCCTGAGAGTGTGGACAGCTCAGTGCACCTGTCCCCACGACTGTGACAACAACCCCAGGCCCTGTTGACAGGGTTCAGGAGCATCGGGCTGGTAGGCGAAGGGCTACCCCACGCTGTCTCTCATCTTAGTAGGTTGTGTCCCCTACATTGACACGAGGGTGGGAAAGGGTCCAGCTTCCCATCTCAGCTCAGCCACTGTCCAGCATGTCACCACGGAGGTCCCCGGAGCCCAGTACTTCGTTGGTTGGCCATTACTTACTGAGGATTTCCTGGGAGCAGTCTGGCTGTCTGTGTGCTCGGTGCCGGGGAAAGGAAGATGAAATCATGTCCCTGCCTTCAAGAAGTTGACGGGCTAGTTGGGGAGGCAGATCTTCAGTTAAACCATGACTAGTTCATAGAGTCTTTGCTCTAAAGGAGGATGTGTAAGGTACGGTGGAAATCAAGGTGGGCTTTCCAGAGGAGGCAGGGCTGAGCTGGGACTAGAAGGTTATAGGCCAGGTGAAGCAGAGGTATTGAGTTTCGAAAGTGGGTCCAGCAAGTACAAAGGAATAGATGTGTATAAGGGGATTGAGGACTAACTAGAATAGTTGGAGCATAGGAGGTGGGGTGGAGGTAATGATGGCGTGGGGAAATTAAGTGGGCTAGGGGGTGACACCAGATGTGAAATCCTCACGTAGAGGTGTTTGGACTTCATCCTCAGGGAGGGAGGAGGCATGAAGGATCATGGGACTGACACAACCAGATCTGTGTTTCAGAACGTTCTCTGGGCTGCATCAGAGATGGCCTGTTGGGGGTGGGGAGGGCAGCCAGGGAGCCAATGTAGTGACCTGGGTGCAAGGGGGTGAGGCACCCTCAGGCTGGGCAATGATGAAGAGGATGGAGGAGTGAAAAGATTGGTGGGCTGTGATTGATTGCCTGTGAGTGATGGGGAGAAGGGAGTTGATTTCTGGCTTGAGTGACTGGGCAATGGTGGTGCCATTCATCCCAAACGTAAACTGGATTTGTAGACTTGGTGGTGGGGTTGGGATTCATATGAATTAAGTTCAGGGCCTGATGATTTGAGGTGCTCATGGGACATCCAAAAGGAGACATCTGGGTGATGGCTGGTTTGATAGAAGGATTTGGAGACCAGAAGAAAAGTTAGGACTGAAGTTAGAGATCTTGGGTTATCACTCCAAATCAAATGCAGATGAGTCAGGGGACTACGGAATGCTCTGGAAACGGTGCAGGATGGTTTTGGCAGAAAGGGTCAGTGCCCTGTCCATGTCCCCTTGGCCCTGCAACCCTGCAGCTCTGCCAGAGGACTTTCTCTGAAGCAGGAATGTGCCATAAAATGAATCCCACACATTTTTTTTGGTTCCCACTGCATATAAAATTTATGTCGACTCGACACTGTAGTCTATTAAGTGTGCAACAGCATGATGTCTAACAGATATGCATACCGTAACGGACAAATACTTCATTGCTAAACAATGCTAACCGTCCTCAAACCTTCAGCAAGCCATACGCGTGTTTTCCATGCCATTCCATTGCACCTCATCCCACCATGCGTTTCATTTCTTAACATTCTGGCTGTGGTTCACCGAATGGGTTGAAGTTTGAACACTGGCCTGGACACTGAGCTGGCTGCCTGTAACCTCGGGAGAGTTTGACTCCCCGCTGAGGCCCCAGGCACAGCACAGTGCCTGCCGCACAGGAAGGTGCTCCCTCCATATTTGTTGTTATTTGTTGCATGGCCGTGCCAATAAGTGAATGAATGGCCTACCCCACCCAGACAGGAAAGTGTGGCTTTGATCAGATTCTTCCGTTGCTGAAAAAAAAAACAGCCCACTTCCTGTGGCTTTGATCTCCGCTTTCATTCTGAACTGCCCTGCCTCAGCCAACAGCTGCCCGGAACTCATTTCCTGCTCTTGGGCCACCTTATCTCTCTCTCCAAATACTCCTGAGCTTTCTCTTTCAGGGTGCGCAGGCACACCCCCAGGTCCTCCTCCCCACACCTTTTGGCAACAGGGTGGGGCTGACCTCTTGACTGGGTTAAGTACTTCCCAAATCTCAGCCCCCCTGGGGTGCAGGGCATTTCTGGGCCAGGTGTGTCCTTCTGCCGGATACAGGTCCACATCCTACTGACGGTCTTTGGGGGCAGGAGAATGGGGGTGGGGGATAGACATGGATGAAATAACCATGCGAAGTCTAATGATCAACTGTAAAAGATGTGACAGAGGAAAATTCGAGGCTACCTTGAGAATGTGTGCCCCTGGGGACCAGGGAGGGCTTCCCCAAGACCGAGACAACCTGAGACCTGAAGGTGATGGAAGTTAAAGGGGGTAAAAGAGAGAGAAAGAGCTGACAGGAGGTGAGAACTGCAATTGCAAAGGCCCTGAGGTAGGAACAATAGCATCCACTTGAACCAAAGAGAACTAAGCGAGCCTGGCTGGTGTGGCTCAGAGGCTGAGCATCACGGGTTCGATTGCCGGTGAGGGCACATGCCCGGATTGCGGGCTCGATCCCCAGTGGGGGACGTGGAGGAGGCAGCCATTCAGTGTTTCGCTCTCATCATGGATGTTTCTATCTCTCTCTCCCTCGCCTTCTCTGAAATCAATAAAAATATGTAAAAAAAAGAAAAAGAAAAAAGAAAACTAAGCACTTCTGGTGCCCAAAGAATGAGGGGCTTACAACCACCGAGGCTGGAGATTTTGGATTTATCCCCAGAGCAGTGGAAAGCAACAGTGTTTGAAGAATGATGATGACACTCTTTAGAAAGCTCATTTGGCTGCAATATGGCTGAAGGATGGGGTGGTGGTCCAAGTGAGGAAGCTGGGAGACCAGTCGCGAGGCTGTGGCAGCTCCAAGGGGCATTTAAGGGGGTGGTGGTCAAGGTGCATCACGTGACTGGCCTTAAGAAATACAGTATTTCCTCCGTCATTTGTTCGTTCAATGCTTTTAAACACCTACCGGGAGTCCGCTCTGCCTAAGTGCCCTGGGGAGCCAGAGTCAGGCTGGGCTCTGCCTTCAGGCAGCTCGCATCTCTCTGGGAGGACAAACTAGGGCCAGCGAGGCCAGAGTGTAAGTGCAAAGCGCTCTGGGAGGTTCAGATGGCACATGCCCCAAGGCACAGGCCCAGAGGGAGTGTGGGCACCTGTAGCGGGTGCTCTCCTGCAAACACTGTTGGTGAGAAGTCAGGAACCGTCATTTGTAGGATTCAGGTGGGGTGGGGGGCATGGGGGTGGGATACAGCACTGTCTCCTCCTCTTGGGCAGTGGGGCGGCTGCAGGGTGTGCTGGGGGTCGGGAGGTCCAGGTGGAAGCCTGGCTATGGCTTCTCTAGGGTGGTAACACTTCTCTGGGCCCCGGGAATCTCCCCTGTGCCCCGAGGGCCTGTCTCCCTTTGCAAAGGCCCTTTTCCTGGGCGCAGTGGGGTGTGAGAGGGCACACGGGTCTCCCCAGTGCCGCTAGACCAGGTGAGGACGTGTCCAGCCCCGGAGGTGTCCCTTTCCTCTTCCTGCCTGAGTCACCTTCCTTGGAAGCACAGTGACCCCGCTTACTCAGGGAGTCCACCCTTCCCCCCCGCCCCCCCCCTTACGCGGCCCTGCCCTTCGCCCGGGGAGGGATCGGCGGCGAGGAGCCCTGAGATGTGTCAGTGAGCAAGCCCAGTCCCCCTCCCGCCCCCCAGGTAGGGCCTGGGTCTCCCCCTTGGGGTGGGGATGGGGATGTTTCTTTTCCTTGAAATGGGCTTCTGAACAGCTGTGAGGAGTGCCCCCTCCCACAGGCCTTGTTGACAGTAACCTCCCTGCCCCCCAAGCCCCTCAAAAGGCTCTGAGGGCCCCTCCGGATGTAGGGGATGGCGCATGGTGGGGCTGGTTTGTGGAGCTGCAGCTGCTGCCTCCCCGTGTGTCCTCCTGGTGCCCAGGGCTGTTGGTGGTTCTAGCACAGGGGTGGGCAAACTTTTTGACTCGAGGGCCACAATGGGTTCTTAAACTGGACCGGAGGGCCGGAACAAAAGCATGGATGGAGTGTTTGTGTGAACTAATATAAATTCAAAGTAACCATCATTACATAAAAGGGTACGGTCTTTTTTTTTTTTTTTTTAGTTTTATTCATTTCAAACGGGCTGGATCCGGCCCGCGGGCCGTAGTTTGCCCACGGCTGGTCTAGCAGGACCCCCGTCTGTGTTCTCAGACTTCAAGGTGCTTCCCCATAAAGCCCCTGGCCCAGGCCTTGCTGTGCCTTGGAACGCGGGCAGGATGTGTGGGGCTCCTAGGGACTCATGGAGCGCAGGCCTCTGATCTCGGGCTGGTTTTCCTGTCCGCCCGCCCGGGTGCTGACAGCAGGGCTCCCTCCCTGCCTCCTGCCTGGCCTCGTGGTCAGCTTCACAGACCAGGTGACGCGTGCACAGGAGGAGGAGCTGCCCCTGGCGGGGCAGGGGGAGAAGGGGCTCTGCTGGCCAGCACCAGGGGCTCTGGGCAGCCCCACCACTGGCCCCCACCTAGGGACCTCCTCCTAAATTCCAATTTAAACACGCACAACGGAAAAGGATTGCAAATAAACCCCCGGACAAAGATATTCCCAAGAAATTCCTAGGATGCCAGGCCCTTTGTTCACACAGAAGTTTGCCAATCCGTGTAGATTAATAAAACAGATAAGTAGAAGCTAATCCAGTTGAAGGGGTTGGGCACCGAGGAAAGGGATAAGCACCCCAACGGTTCAGCCCCTCCATCCTCCTGCCCCTCACTCCCCCCACCCCCCCCAAAAGGTTCTATCCGGTGACCTAGATTCTCGCCTCCTCCGGGGCATTGGGGAAGGCCGTCCCGGTGTTGGTGATGGCTTAGCAGGGAAAAGTCCCCGAGGGACACCTGCCAGTCGGCTGTCATTGCCCGAATCCCTCCATTCACTGAGGTCACTGAGGTCCCTGTCCTACCAAACCCCGAGGAGGGAGCCCGCAGGACCAATTTCCCTGGGTCCATCCTAAGGAGCCCAGGTCCAGAGTCTCTTGGCGGCCCCAGAAAGAAAGGAGAGAAGTGTCAAGGGCGTGTCTGAGGTGTCATTTTTGGGTGGGGTGGGGTGGGGTGGGGGGCATGGGGGTGGGATACAGCACTGTCTCCTCCTCTCGGGCAGCGGGGCAGCTGCAGGGTGTGCTGGGGGTCGGGAGGTCTGGGTGGAAGCCTGGCTCTGGCTTCCCTAGGGCGGGAACACTTCTCTGGGCCTCAGTCTTCTCACCTGTAATAGGGGGTCACACTTCCTGCAGCCTCGAAGACAGAACCTTCAGGTCTGGTGACAAGATGCCCCGAGTAAGTGATACACTCAGCCCGGCCCCCAGGAGTCCCCTGGCCCAGGCTGACCCTCGGTGGGGGTCACATGTCTCAGCATGTGTCTTTGAAATAAATAAAAATATATTTCCTGAGTGTCTTCCTCAGGGTTGGGGGCGTCTTCACAGTCGTTCCCGAGCCTCTTCAGAAGGAGTGGCTCCTCGTGGAATGTCCTCCCGCACTGTGAGCTGTAGGCAGCGGACCAAGGCTGAGAGGAACTCCCTGTGGTCGCCTCACCCACCTCCCAGACACAAACACAAAAATGTCCCGAGGTACCGAGGCACTCGCCACGCCCTGGAACATGTTTTCCGCAGAGCATTCCCTCAGCGTCCTGAGTCACCAGCCCCTTCTCTCCGGGCACCCTGCGAACTGGTATTTGTCTTTTCCATGAACATTCTCCCCAGGGACGGAAGTCAGAGTCATGGGTTCAAGTCCCTTTTCCATCACCGGTGGCATGCCCTGGGTCACGTGTTACTTGCTAAACTCTGTTTTGCTGTTGTTTATGGAATAAGGAAAATAGCATCTACCCTGTCAAGAGGCTGTGAGGCTTAAATGAGATAACACGTGTGTGAAAGGATGGAAATTATCCGTATGTGAATGTTCCTCTCCAGTTGCTCCCTGCTCCCTGCCTTTGGGAGCAAATTCGGGTTTGGCCTCCTTGGTGTCACTGCGTCCCTCAGCCTCTAAGGAGGGTGCTGATGGTCAGAATCATCCTTAGGCGAGTGGGATGCAGAATTAGGAGGAAAGAGAAGAAAAAGGATCAGGGGCAAGACTAAAAGGGGAGGGAGGTTTGAGAGCAGCAATAATGTGTGAGCGAGGAGAGGGAGTGAGAGATTGAAGGAGCATCACTGTGATCTACAAATCCATTTGTTGGGGTTAAGGAACTCAGGGACACTGGGTTATTTTGAAATGACGATTTATTGGTTGCCATCTTGGATGATGGCACCGGACCACTGGGTGACGACCTGGTAAGTGGCAGGTGCTTGGCACACAGTAGGCACCACGACTGGTGCTGTGTCTGCTCCGTGATGGACGATGCTTGTGCGTTCGGCCTCCATATCAGACTGGGTGTGAGTGTGATCACATCAGCCTGGGACTGTACTTTGCCTCCCCACCCCCACCCCCATTAGACTGGGGGCTCCTTGAGGACAGGCACTTTGCATTCTTCATTAGACCAGTGACTCCCGTGTGGGCGGTGTGCTTCCACCCCTAGGCCCCAGGACAGGGTCCTGGTCTCAGCGTGTGTCATATCTCTAGTCGCCTGACTAATGGCCTGACCCTGTCTGGGTGGGAGGTGAAGGTGGAGGGAGGAAGCGGGGAGAGGTCAGTGCCCAAGCTGTTTTCTTCTGCCATGTGCTCCCCAAGAAGCGAAAGAAAAGAGTAACAGAGAAAGCATCCTGCCCCAGCCCAGCCCCAGAGCTAAACATTCATCCTTCAGAATGAAAAGCTCTTCTTCCCGCCCCGTGGGTTCCCATAAACCCAGGTGTGCTCTGTCTGGTCCTCCTCAGTCTGTCTCATGGGGCGGGACCAAGGCTGAGCCAAGCCAAGGCTCTGTCTCGTGGAGCTGAACGTGTTTGCTCGCGTTTGGCAAAGTGGCGGGGTTGGGGGCGGAGGTCATTATGACAACAGCTTAGAAACTCCTGCGAGAAAAGAACAAGGTGTTTACACCGCGGACAAGTTGGGATCTGTCTGTTTGGGTCATGGCTTGGTTTTTGTGTCTCAGCCTGGCAGTTGGTTCAGGCTTTCCACAATCTGGTTTGGTTTGCTGCAATTCAATTAGATTCCATCATTTCCTGCGTGCCTACTATGTGCCAGCTACCTACTGTGCTGGGTATCGGAGGGACCCTGAGGAGCGAGATCAGGATGTCCCTCTGCCCAGAGGGACAGAGGTGTGCACAGCTCTCTCTGTTGCAGAGACTGGAGCTACCACAGATGTGTGAACAGGTGTCAGGGAGGCACAGAAGATAAGACAATGAATCTTCTGGAGGTTTGGAGAAGCCTTTTTTTTTTTTTAAAAAAAGTATTTTTATTGATTTCAGAGAGGAAGGTAGAGGGAGAGAGATAGAAACATCAATGATGAGAATCATTGATCGCTGCCTCCTGCACGTCCCTACTGAGGATCGTCGAGCCTGCAACCTGCGTATGTGCCTGGACCAGGAATCGAACTGTGACTTCCTGGTTCATAGGTCAACGTTCAACCTCTGAGCCACACTGGCCAGGCTTGGAGAAGCCTTTGTAAATGTGGGAATGTCTGATTTGAAACTTGAAGACTAAGCAGGCACTCAAGAAGTGGCTGAGTGCCCTAGCTGGTTTGGCTCAGTGGATAGAGCATCGGCCTGTGGACTGAAGGGTTCTGGGTTTTATTCTGGTCAAGGGCACATGCCTGGGTTGCAGGCTTCATCCCCAGTAGGGGGCATGCAGGAGACAGCCGATCAATGATTCTCTCTCATCATTGATGTTTCTGAGTCTCTCTCCCTCTCCTTTCCTCTCTGAAATAAATAAAAAAATATTTTTTTAAAAAAGAAAGAAAGAAAGAAAGAAAAGAAATGGCTGAGAAGTGAGGTGGAAATAGCATGAACAAAGTGGGGGCATGGTGAGTAGCTCAGTATGAAGTGGGGGGGAGAGGAATAGTGATTAGCATTTATTGAGCACCTACTGATGAGCACCTACTGATCACCCGGTTCTGTGCTAGGTGCTTTGCCCGTATAGTATCTCATTTAATCCTCTCAGTAATGTAAGGAGGTGGGTATTGGTGAAGAAACTAACATTTGGAGAGAACAGATGGCTCTGCACCAGCATCTGAACCAGGCTTGTCTGACTCCAAATTCCATGCTCTTTTTACTAGACCAGTGGTTTCCTGAATATATTCTATGA